TTCCCCTTAATTCTTTCTGCCTTTCACAGATGAACCAAGCTCACCCCAGGCCCCTGCCACAATCTGACAGGATGAACTGGAGAACAGCAATTTATGTTATTTTACTGGTGAGCCTTACGGTAGTCAAAGCCCTGCCTAGAAGTTATCGGGACATAGGTAAGAATATATCGCATATTTTTACTCTATTCTTTTCTAGAATACTGATGCCTGCAACTTCGCACGCATGGTTATTTGGTATCTCGCTTTGCCACTGCCAGTTCCACATGAGCGTTTTCTTACGCGTCGAAGGGATACAACAAAACCGTATCCGTATACATTTTTTGTGATCAGCCTCAGACGTGTTGCTTCTTAACGGCTTGAGAATCTATGCAGCGTGCAGGAGGGCCAGGATTACTGAGAGGAGGTCTAGTGAAGGGTCACTTAATCCACAGGGATGTGGTTGGGCCACTGATTTTAGGGTTGAAGGAGCCTACGATGACCACGCTTCTCACTAAGGTCAAGTGACTAACTTGAAACAACTGAAAACCTCCAGTAGCGTGCCGTTTCTTTCACAGTACATGTTGTTTCTTTCACAGTACATGTCGTTACCATTAGTCAAGTTTTTTTTCATCTTTCTAACTTCCAAATGCACTAAATGGCCCAACAGCGTAACACAGAACCGATGTTTGTGTCATTTATCTCACGTTATCCCCTCAGTCGACACCCCCGCGTTACTCGGGGGAAGAAGCTGGCTTATTTCTCTGATTCGTTTGCTCCTCTGACACTGATCTCAGCCCTACCGACACAAGGGTGAAACAGTAACTTCTTGATTTGGGAACAGGCCCCTTCTTTTAAAACTGATCTCTCAGAATATTCTCCGACAAACCGGGAACTCAAGAGATTATTGCATTTAGAGTTGTCCGTAATACAGGCCCAGTGGCAAAGGACAAATATTTGCACAGGACCTTCACGTAGATAGGACACATTTGTTTTCCTCTGGGCCCGTTCACAACATGGACAGAAGGATGCAGTTCTCTGAATTTTTGAGGAGCTTTGCCTGCCAATGTAGTCCTCAACTTAGCCCATGTTTTCTGCACAGAAAATCCTTCATCTGTAGCTAAAGAGTGCTCAAGCACACCTTAAATAGCTAAGGTGAGGTTAAAAGGTGTTTGGTAAGGTGCTTATTTAATCACGTGAAGCGCATCGTCAACGTAGCTGAGCGGCCTCCAGGTTTTAGCGTGTTCCTCCCTGCAATAGGGAGATGCTATTGGCCCTGTTGTATCGTAGGTCAGAAGCAAACAGTGTCACAGCCTCATGCTTAAGTCGAATAGGCAGCTCAATCTCATGCCTTCCTGCTCCCCGTGCCAGTACCCCAGCCACTAAATCGTCTTTCTCCAAGACTCCAGTACCAGAAAAAAAAAAAAAAAAGGGCATTTAACGAAGCATTTAGTAAACATTTTTTATTCACGCTGTCTTGTTTTTCAGAGGAAAAAAACAGCATCGGCCAACGTTTTTCTCAGCTGCAGGAGAATAATTTCAAAGCCATGTAAGTTGCCCAGGGAAAGCGACTACTTGCAAATTTGCTGCCGCTGAACATCCTTGCGTCACTCGGAAACGAAAACGTACCGCGAGCCAAACGCTCACCCGTTCTGCCTGCCCGCGCCAGCTCAGCCCAGGCTGATACGCATCCTCTTAGTCTCACACGTAAAAGTTATAGCATTAGTTTTTAGGTGGCCAGCAACAGGTTTAATGCTGTGTGTTCCTCTGCAGTGCCATGATCATGTTTGCCCAATATGTGCAAGGAGGCACGTTCGGCAAAGCCGTTAAAATGGCTGAAGATGTGACAGACCTTGCCAAAAGGTGTGCTGCTGCAGCCGGAGAGAACCCGGATTGTCGGAAGCCTTTGGTAAGCACATTTCTGCTTCTAACGTGGCAAAAGTTTTCAGAAGTGACTTGTAATTTCAGAGCCCTGGTTTGCGTTTTTCCAAAGAGGAATGAACGCGTTATGAAGAGCCGTGACTTCCTTGCGTACGCATGCCTGGCCTTAATGACTCCTTCATTCTCCAGGCTCCCATCTATAAAGCGTCTCAAGATAAGTGGAGGAAGACAAAGCCCCTCTCCTCCCCCACCCCAAATATCACAGCGCCTTTTGAAATCCTTGACCTCTTTCTAAAAGATGTTCAGAAACTTTTGCTTTTATGGCTGGTGTAACAAAATTCAGGAGAAGCCAAATGAGATATTTCCAGCACATGCAATGTTTATAGGCATTTGCTCCACTCCATGACCTCGCATTCCTGGTTTTTGACGGCGTATGCTCCAACACGCTTTTGGAGCTGGCAGACTGAATCACGAAACATGAATGTCAGTCCCTGTTACGACTCATGTTGCAATTGTTAGACACACTGAAACAAACCCTGAATGAAAACAACCATTTGCACACAAATCAAACAACCATCTCGCTTGTTATCGAGAAGAAGGGTCTGGATAATGTTATAAGTTCAGAGTGTTTGAAAACCGTAGCACTTCAGAGTCTGTCTTGGCATAACGGCAGGTATCAGAGTTTGAGAAATCATCATTGATAGGTTTTAGAGGTCAGCCTAATTTTCACTGCAGTCAAAGCAGGAGGTAATAAAGAGACAAAATGAGTGCTTGTGCACGTCAGGGCTTGTTGGCTTCAAGAAGCCTCCGCAGAGGGCTCACAAGAGTAAAATGGAATCCTCACACCAATTAATTTTTTTCTAATTTTTCACAGGACAGGATTTTCCTCGATACAATCTGCCAGGAGGAACATCTTCCCAGGTTTACTGACTGCTGTGCTAGAAAGGATCCTGAAAGAAATGACTGCTTCCTCTCCCTTAAAAATGCATCGAGGGGGTTCATTTCCCCTTTGGAAAGGCCAAATGCTGAAGCTGCCTGCAAAAATCATTCACGGCATCAACATTCATTAACAGGATAGTAAGTAAATAAATCATGGCTTCGTGGCCTAGATATGCCGGTTATGAGCCTAGAGTCAGCAAATGCAGTAATAACCAAAAAGCTCGGTCTACAATTCTCTGTAATCTCGTACTTTTCTTCCTCATGGGAATGATTTGCGCAATTCACGTAGCTGTCACCGTCATTGTGTGGAGCCTGTTCTGCCACCTCCTGCCTCGGATGTAGGCCCAAACGACAAACAGGCTGGCTTGTTTCATTGTAGCCCACATAAAACCCTCATCGGAAACCACGGGCCTCCCTTGAGTCCCTAAAAGCCAAGCAGATGTTTCGCTGCCTCCAAGGCGGAACTGGCAGGATTTGAGACTTCCAATTCCAGGAAACCATCAGCCCCCATCAGAATTTTTCCAAGATAAACACCACGCTATACAGCTTGTCGTTATGACAGGAAAACAATCACTTTTAGTAGCTCTCATTTTAATATACGGCAGATGTTGCCCCCTGCACGTAAGGGCTTTCTCCGAAACTAAAGGCATTTCTCGCTTGCTTTTAGCTTTATCTATGAGGTTTCCAGAAGGCATCCGTTTCTCTATGCCCCCACAATCCTTTCTGTCGCTGTGCGTTACAACGAGATGATGAAGAACTGCTGCGGAAGTGCTGAAGACCCCACTCACGACCTGGAGGAATGCTTTCGGAGACAGGTATTCCACCGCAGCGTTTTAGTTTATTCACGTCCAACCAGGGACTTTCCTATAGCTAAACCAATACCAAAGCACAGACATCAGCCATTTCTTTTTCAGCATCTAAACCTGATATTAGAATTCAGCTTGTTCAGGACAGGCTGAGATCAGACTTCAGTGCTCTCCTGAAGTATAGCTCGAACTCCTACATGAAAACGCCCGGCTTTGGGGCGTTGGGCAGATGTAGCTTTACGGGGAGCCCAAGGCAGTCCCCACGCCCTGCGGTGGCATCGCTGCCCACCCCGACTCGCTGCTGGCACTGGGTTTGTCGTAAGGATGCGAGAGAGGACCTGGTGCTACGCGTAGTGCGAAGTCCGGGTTTTTTGCCTGTTAATAGCCCCATGACGCATCTCCTCCTTCCCCACACGTAACCAGTGCCAGAAATTCAGGGCAAACGACCCGTGACGGTGGGAAACAAGCGTGGCCAACCTGCCCTGGCTGAATGGCCGAATACGCCTTTCGCGCAGCTCCGCTGGGCTGCAAGCAATGGCACGGCTGAACATTAGCTCACAGCAGTGCAAAGGCAGCCACGTAGCTCCCCGGTGACGATTTCTTCCCCTATGCTAAAAACACTGAACTATTGTCCAAAAGGGTTCTGGTTGCTTTTCACAGAACGCTTACCTAAGAAACGCGGGTGACTAAATTACAAGCACAACAGTTAGTTCACATCGCAGCTGGGACAGCAATTTTCTTTCGCTATTAAAAAACCCCTGTTTAAAAAAACATCGCCGCAGTAGTTTTAGAATCGTAGAATCATTTAGGTTGGAAAACATTAGCATAAAGCATTGTCTTTTCTTCTCTTCCCCTTTCATGGTCTGCATCTTCTTTCTACCAGGCACCCAAGGTGGTGAAGCCCGTCAAAGAAGATGGCCTGAGGCAGGAACACACGTGTGGAATCCTGAAGAAGTTTGGAGAAAGGACCTTAAAGGCTCTGTGAGTCCTCCCCACGTTTATCATTATTTCGAAATAAAGCGTGGATGTCGCGTGTTGGCCGTGGGTGCCTCCACACGGTACAGCGACCCCCTTTTTGCGTGCAGGGCGCTAGCAGCATCTAACCAGGAATACAGATTAGGAATACTAATTTATGCACGGCAGCAGTCACCGTTTCCTCACAAACTGCCGTTAGCTTGCACAATCTAAACCCAAAGTTGGAAACGGACACAGCTCTGTGAGCGAAGTTAGTGATTGTGAGCAGAACACAAGTCATCTCTCTCAACCATTTGTGACGCAAGGTTGCTCCTGTAATTTCATGCTCACCTGCCACGTTTCTTCCCACCATCCCACACTGCAATCCACCGCAGATCCTTGGATAACTGAAAATCTCAGCTATTGGCTCCAAGGGACGTGGATTTCCTAACTTCAGTGGGAGCAGGGAGAGACCCTTCCTGAGCAGTATGGCTAACCCCTCCACAGGAAAGTGATGATTGCTCGCAGTGTCTCACACGGTGAAAATGAACAATAACTATTTCTCTTTCTTGCAGGAAACTTGCTCAGATAAGCCAAAAATTCCCCAAGGCTGATTTTGCTACTGTTAACAAACTTGTGATGGATATTGCTAACATGCACAAGGACTGCTGTCGTGGAGATATGCTGGACTGCATGCGTGATAGGGTAAAACTCATTTAATATTTATAGGTTTGCAGAACTTGAATGCTTTTCTGGTTTTCAAATTTTTATTTTTCCTCTTGTGCTGCACTGATCGCTCTCCAGACGTGGAGTTTAACTAGCAGCACCTCTCAATCGGCAAGCACGGGACTGCAGCGAGGAGATCAGCAGGGCTTCAGTCGTCTTCCTTGTCCTGTCAGATGTCTGTTGCACAGCTGTGGCCAGCCACCTCTTCTCTTTGGAAGTCACCTTCTCTGCCTGTAAAAGAGAGATAAAAACACTGATCCAAAAAAAAGACGACCAGAATCTGGTAAAATAGCCTTCCTTCCCTTTTTTGTTTTACAGGAAGAGATTCTACGCTATGTCTGCGCCAACCAAGACATCCTATCGAGTAAAATCAAGAAGTGCTGTGAGAAGCCTCTGTTACAAAGAAGTGAATGCATAGTTAATGCAGAAAATGACGACAAACCTGCAGAGCTGTCCCCCCACGTCAGGGAGTTTATCGAAGACAAAGGAATATGCGAACGTTTTGCCCAGGAGAAAGATACACACTTAGCCAGGTAACGCGGGTCGTCCTCGACTCTTCAGTTGTGCTGTTTCAATACTTGGGTTAAAAGATGACAGCGTGGACGTTAAAGCCCAGCTCATCAGCCTCAGATTTGTCTGCTCTGGGAGCACGTAGGCATGGGACACGGTGCAAGTCGATCTTAGTAAAACACCGCTCCAGCCTGGAAGGCACGGAATGGGAACAAGCGCAGGACAGGGCACGGTTGTTATTTCAGAAACAACGTTGAAGAACCGCGTGTGAAATGTAGGTGCTATCGGTTCTGATCTCAGGCCCAGAATATAGCTTAGATCCGCTCTTCAGGGGGAATTCCGAAAACACTTAAGTCAGACTCGTGTCTTGATTCAAACAGGATTGGCCCATTTCTGTTCTAGCCGTGTTCCTTTGAGCAACGAAGCCTGGATCCTGCCTGTAGTAAACTTGGGCAAGAATGCCACAGGCTGCGAGAGCAGCAGCATCAAGTCGCAAGGCAGAGGATTCACCTCAAATAACATACATCCCTTCCATTTATGACAAGTGCAGCTCATCGGCTGGGCACGGCGGCTGTGCAGGGTGACTGCTTCAGCAGAGCTCATCTGTTCGGCGTCTATTAAGCAATGGGCCTGGCACTGGAAATTATGTCATTATCATTTAGGTAGGATTAAAAAAAGAGCAAAAGCCCAAGCCTCACAAAGCTCTAAGCTATGCTTGACCCAAGGTAAGGCTGAGCTGGGAGCGTGACACGCGCAGGACTCGCTCGGGCAATGCTCTGCTCAGTCAGGCGCGTTGCGTTCGGGTTCAGTCCCAGGCTGAGATGCTGGGGAATTCTCCCTGTTCCATCCCGAAAGCACCCCTGCTGTCCTTACCATCCCTGACCCCGGGAGGGCAGTTGTTTTCCTTATCTCTAATTCCCGATACTCCACATATTGCAGGTTTCTGTATGAATATTCCAGGAGACACCCTGAATTTTCTGCTCAAATGCTTTTAAGAATTGGTAAAGGATACGAGGACCTGCTGAAAGAGTGCTGCAAAGCCGGCGCTCCAGACGACTGCTGCAGCAGAGGGGTAGGTGCCGTCGTGCTTCACACATCCTCCCGACGGATTCAAGCATGGGACCGCATGACTAAATAGAGAATATTGCTGCTCCAGGTCTGGAGCGAGTACCCGCAGCTCCCGTACCAAAGCCCAGCAACTATGACAAGGCCCAGCCGATTCCCCTATGGAAAAAGCACCAACAGAGCCTTCGCAATCTTCAATTGCGGAGCAATTTAACGGGGATAGACAGAGATGCCCGGGAGAGGGACGGAGCTAACATTTCTGTGAGCCCTGCTCTCTTTCGGGCTCTCCAGTAGTGCTGATGGCCCTCCTGCAAATGGAAAAGGCGCTGATGGTTCTTATCTGAGAAAAAGACAGCGGCGCCGTAAACATCTGAAGTGAGGAGCCACCCTGGGTCTCTGAGCTAGCCTTCCATCAGTGACACAAAATTAAATGTTTCAGTGTGATGTAAGGTGGGCATTTAGCACATTCAGGCAGTTTACAGAGGTTTCAGACAGATGAGGAATTTCTAGCGGAATTAAAACTGGGTGGTATGTATCAGGTGAGAGGTAGCTGTGGGCATCCGGGCCTTACCATGAGGCAATAGGGCATTCCGCATTCCCCCGACACAATGACTCCTCAAATTAATTATTTTTTTTCAGGAGGAGGAACTGAAGAAACATATTTATGAAACGGAAAGCGTCATGAAGACAAGCTGTGACATTTACAAGGAGAAAGGAGATTACTATTTCCAAAACGAGTATGACTTTTTTATATCCTTATGTTACTCCTGTAATGCACACAACTCAGGCTGGAGTAAAGCCACGCACGTCAAAAAAGCTAGGCTGAAACACGCCACTTGAGCATTTGGAGCAATATATTAACTGCTTCAAGGATTTATTTTTTTTTTAAATCTTTTCCAAGACAATGTTGTGGCCTCTGATGAGTTCTCTCCTTAGCCCAACTCATGAAGAGCAAAGTGACAACTTGCTCCATCTCCGGTCCGTGAACCCTGTCATGTTCTTGCTTTAGAGCTGCATTTTGAGCTGTGAGCTGTAACCTAAGGGTCACACATCTGGGCACAAGACAGGTGCTGTGCCTTTTGCAAACGACTTGGCTCCATCCAGCTCCTGCAGCAGATGTAAACATTAACGCTCCTAACTGCAGCAGACAGAGCAAAACCCCACTAGCTGAACTATACGCTGCGCTTAAATGCAGCGTGCAGGTACAAGCCTCCTGGAGGAACTTTGGCCCCAATTTGCAATGTTAATGAGCACATGCCTAACTTAAAGTATGTCAGCAATCTCAGTGAAACCTCTGAACTGCTTTCGTACTTCAGCGAGGCTTCAGCTAGCCTCCTCTGCGGAGATACACGGGGCTTTTTGCGCTCCTGGCCACGACTGATCTTTCAAAGACCTTTGGAACTAGAGGTTTCAGACAAACCTGGTGGGCTGCTTCTGCCGGGTGTATCAGTTGTTCGGGTTTTCCTGGCCACGCTGGTTAATAAGCAGAGTTTTTCTAAAAGAAAAAACAAGTGAAATTTTTTGAGCTCATCCTCTGCCCTCATCTACTCTGCCGAGAAGTCACTCGAGTTCAGTTTTGATCTGAGACAAGCTCCCCACACGCCCAGAGAAAGGAGTGACACGGGAAGAACACCCGTACCTTCTCGTAAGAGGGCCCACCAGCATCTAACTGGCATTGTTACCATTCGTGTTATTTGTTTAGCCTGGCAAGAGACCGGTCAGACAAAGGAGAGAGCTCAAACAGACAGAGCAGGCTTACACTTGCCTGCGTGAGTTTAGAAACACCAGGCTCAGTCCTGCCCTTGTACCGACGCGCGTTCTGCGGGGTTCGGCTCGAGCTTTACGCATGCGAAGGCAGCGGCTGGCTCGCTGCTGGAACAAAAACGCCAATAGCAAAGAAATTATCATTTCAGGCTTCTCATGAGCTTCACCAAGAAGATGCCTCAGCTGACATCTGCAGAGCTGATAGAATTCACCAGGCAAATGACTACAATCGGCTCCAAATGCTGCCAGTTAAGCCAGGACAAGCTGCTGCCTTGCGCCGAGGAAAACGTGAGTAGTTTTCCTCTCTATCCCGGGCCTACTTTTTCTTGAAACTCTGCCACAAATGCTGCTGCCAGCAGGGTCCAAGAGCTTGGAGTAAAGGTAAATGAGCAAAATGCTCACTGAGCTGTTGAGCTGGCCTGAAGCTGTGCTTCCAGATGCATGCCTGCAGTAAGCCTAACTCAGCATCATCGAAGTTAATGCTTGAATTAAACTACAGGAGGATCGGGCAATCGTCAGGCTAGTGCTAGGCAGCGAACCGTGACGTGCTGCAGGCAGTCCCACCCTGCTGCCTCCCAAGCTGACCATCTCCTGCCCGATTTCATCCCTTCCCGATGCCTGAAGCCGTAGTGCTCTATGAAAAGGATCAATGTTGTGTAGCTCCTCCCTAAGCACTCCCCCAGCCCATAAACCAAAGTACTTTAAAAGCTCGGGCCTGTCCTCCAGCCACCCGCTGGTACATCACCTTTACAAGAACAGCCCACCAGACCCACAGAAATCCTGCTGAGGAAAACAAATCAAATGCACCCACGGTTTTATGAAAATATCACATTTCTACACGCAAAGGACAGTCCCTGAAACTGCACGTACATATTTATTCTGAAACATCTGAGCCATTTTTGCACTGACAAAAGTTGGCATTCAGTAGAAATAGAACCTGCTATCTATCTTACAAATGAGGTTTAATTTAAATTCTCAGTTATTTTTTGTAACTTCACTAAGAGCAGCATGTATTTCAGGGATCTTTGGAAGTGAAAAGATAACGTAAAATTGGGGTTTTTTTCACCTCTCTTGGTACAGTTGGATCTCGTGCTTGGAGAAATCTGTAGGAGACACCTGACCGATCCTATAAACCCCGGAGTTTGCCACTGCTGTAGTAGCTCCTACGCTCTCAGGAGGCCATGCATGGGGAAACTAGAGATTGATGAGAATTACGTGCCCTTATCCTTGACTCCTGGTCTCTTCACTTTCCACGAAGACTTGTGTACGACCGAAGAGGAGAAGTTACAGCACAAGAAGCAGGAGTAAGCCATGCCCTGCTTTACTCCGTTAGCCCTGTGTTTCTTATTCTTATCCTGGCAACACTCACCTTTCCCTTCTCCGCTCTGCCCGGCCTCCGTGTTCTGCAATACGCCGTGGCAGAACAGCCACGCGTCCCCCAACCCCTCTTCCAAGCTCCTTTTCTTTCCTCTCTCGCCACTCCCAGTTCCTTCTGCTCTCTGGCTCAACCTCTATTCGCCTGCCCTAGGTTCGAAGGAAGTCATCTGCAGAGGCGGGGAGCGGCACTGGAATGTGCACTGCCAGGAAGGAAGCAATAGGTGTCCAAAGGGAGGTCCGACAAACCTGCCCTCCCACCGCCCTTTGCGCAAACTGCACAGGGCACTGCATAAAAAGATCCCAGACGAAGAGGGAAGCTACTGCCTCAAGTCCTGCTCGGCCTTTACGGCTTAATTAGGGCTCATTGCCCGGAACGGGAAAGCCCATGCATCTTCTTTTACCCCAGGCACTCCTTCAGTCTCTGAAAAGCTCTGGTGTTTGGTTGCCTTGGTCAGAACAAACTTGCCCGCTTCCCCCCCCGCTCCACCGTCACTGAAAGACGAAAAAAACCCTCTTTAGCCCTTAATGTGTGCTGTGGCGAACCCATGCTGTCCCGTCCGGGACCCTCTGGGGCGGTGCACCACGCAGAAACCATCGGCACGGTTTATTCACGCATATTCGTGGTGGAGCCACTCCAACAATGAGCGTTGGTATTTTATTTCACAGGGGAACGGGGCGCATCTTTGCTCCCTGCTGCAAATACGTATCCGGGGGGTGAATAAAAATGGAAAAGCTGTAGAAAGCAAGCGGGCAATAACAGGAGAGGGACTTGGCAGGCCTAGCGTTTGACAAATGCTTCGTGAGGCGCGTGCTCACCTCCCCGCCTCACAGGGCTCGCTTTGCTTGTCTTGCAGAATGCTCATCAACCTCATCAAATACAAGCCGCGGATCACACAGGAACAGCTGAGCTCCGTCACGGCCGCCTTCACTGCCATGCGGGAACAGTGCTGCAAAGACGACAACCGTGAGGCGTGTTTTGTGAGAGAGGTATCCATTCTGTTTCCCCCCGTACATCCTGAATCCAAACGGAAACACGGAGCGTACGCCAGAGCGTAAATTTCTCCATTAAGCAGCAAAACCAAAGCCTGACGAGCCAGAATTCCTCCGGTTACATTTCCAAAGCCAAACTTTATTGCCTGCGCAAGCGGAGATGCGTACCAGTGGAACGATCGCTAGAGAACTTACCTCATGGGTCTGGTGTTTGTGCGCAGCAGTTGACAGACACAGAGCTCAGCTGCTCCTGGGGAGCCCCCGAGCCGTGCGCTGTGAAGGACATGGGTGCAAGTCTTTCCCCGGCCGATGGCTCTTAACTGAATTTCTTCTGAAAAGTTCCTCTGCAATAGAGAGGGCAAAGATCTGTTCACCTTTTAGGTCAAAGCAGCTTCCCTGTTCATTCTCCCTCCCTCTGTTTTCCTCTTTCCTACGTTATTTCAGCTCTCAACTTCACACTGCAGAGCTCCTTGGGCTTCACCTTACCCTCCCGTAAATAGGCTTTTGCCTACGTCTCATCTCTCTCTCTTCGATATATTCCTTAGCTGAACTTCAGCAAAGCATCCACGACCCTGGACCCTTGCTCTGTCTTTTCCTAAGCCTTTGCCTTGCTTTGCTTTAAATGATAAAATACAGAAAATTCTCTCTTTCGTTAATAGGAAACTTCCACCTCTCAATACAGCCAAACAGCATATCTACAGAGAAGCGTTCTACGCACTCTCCCTAACAGAACTGTATTTCAGTATTCTTCTGACAAACACCAGATCTCCTAAGGCAAGCGGAGCTGAACAGTAAACGCAAAACATTTACTAAGCCTAGCCACGTATGTGTATGCCCTCTGTATATATTTGTAAACAGCTTGCGCAGATGATGAAAGGTTGCCTACTGCCGCCGTACTCACTGAACTCCTTCACAAGTACATCGCCTTCCTGACTCTAGTGCTCATCGATATTTCTCTTTTTTTTTTTTTTTCAGGGTCCAGAACTTATCAAAAGAAGCGAAAAGATGCTGTCAGCATAAAGAGCTGGCACAGCATATTGGAAGATACTTGCTGAATGATAGAAGTCACACAAAGTTAATAGGGAGCACATCTTTTCTAAATGTTCATCAAGTGTAAACAGGAACGTATGATTTGTCACAGCGGAGAAAACTACGTTGTGGCTCTTCACTCACCTATCTAATGAAGGGAGGACGGTTTACACCGCCCAAGGCTCTGCCACTCTCCGACCTGCTGCCGTGACCGAGGCAGAAGAGGTGCCTCGGAATAAAACATCACGTTTCCGCACAGAATCCGCCGAGCCGTGGAACTGCAAACCTGGTCTGCTCACAGAGCTCAGCTTACCCCGAAATTAAATGACTTTATCCCTTTTATTCAGATGGGGGAGAAACTACGCAAACTGCATCTCTGGCTCCTATCGCTTTGATTCAAAATGATCAAGGATATGTAAAATTTAAACCACAACAAGTAACTTAGTCAGTTTAAGTCCAGAGCGAGGGTGCATCACCTTAAAGAAATCCACCAAAAGAATAAATTAAACCGATGGAAATTCAGGGTTTAAATGTGGCCGCCATGTTGTTATGCAATATTATTTTACTTACACCAAATAGTCACAGACACCAAAACAAGAAAGGCATTCTAAATCTTAAGTTTTTGAAGCATAAGCGCAAATGAGATGGAATTAAGCCAATCTGCCTGTAACCACTTCTAAATCGTTTTTCCATCACCACGATTATTTTTGCGTTTTTATAGTACTGTCCTTGAAATACAACATGCGCACTCACTGACAGGGGCTGCTGTAGGGGAGTGGTAAAGTTGCCTTTAAGCACGGCCAAAGATGATCTCGGGCATCCCGAAGAGGGTGAGAAGGAAGAGAAATGAGCCCTGTGTCGTGGCAAGGACAGACGAGGAGCTGCCGAAACACCCGCTCAGCAGAGGGATGGTTAGAGTCAGCACCAGAAGGCGGCCAAATTGACGCTCCAGGTGGTTTGACACCACAGCAGCTTTGGGGTTTTTATTTTCTTTTTACATTAAAAAGCAATTAGAAGGCACGGTAAAAACCATATGTCAAAAACAGTATTAAAAAAATAAATATTTTTTCTGGAAACCTTTGGCTCGAAGGAAGAGATAGCCAGCCATCAGATTCTTTCGGTGGACGCACCTAGCGGTAGTTGTCCTAGGAACAATTCAAAATACCTGTGCGATAAAGCAGCATTGCCCAAACAAACATCTCCTGAAACGCAAAGCCAGCTTAAAGTAGTACCGACCGAGAGCAGGCTTCAGAGGCAGACTGAGGAGGTCAGCCGAACCGAGTCCCATGGGAAGCTACCCTGTACCCACTGCTAGGCGACAATTTCCTGAAGGATCTAAATAAGGATAAGGAAAAACATCCATTAGATTTGTGGCTGGCAGCAAGAGGGAGACATGCTGTTGCAGACATTGTCAAAGTGATCTTGGCAAATTAAAGAAATAGCCTAGGAAAACACAGCTCTATGTTCTACGAGGACAAACGTAACATAGGACATAGGCAGGGTTAAGCAGCTGCACCATTTCAGTACAGGAAAACTACTCAGCAGGGGTTGCGCAGGTAGCGACGGAGTCCTAACACGTCCCAGGCTGATCGACAGCCACCAAAGGTTTGCTGCTAACGAGAGCCTGCCATCGTGCTGCGTCGCAGGGGCGTAAGCGGAACAACAGACAAAAGAGAAGGCCGAGCTGTGTAACGAACACAGCATGGTTTCATTTTCCTCACCTGCGGTAAGGAGCTGGCTGGAGCCTTAGGGCAAACCTGGGCACCTCCCCGCCGGGCAGCGTTTCACTGCAAGGAGAACAACGGCAACAGTCAGCCATCCCGAAAACACGACAAGGACAGCGACAATAGGTTGGGCTTGCCTGGTTTCCTAAGAAAGGCTGCAGGAACCTGGAAATCTTCATACACCAAAAAAGCCTGATCCCAGGGCAAAAAGCAGCCAGTCAGGGCCTGGTAACAAAGCACTGGGATGGACCGGGAAAGGTGGGGAGCTGTGCGAGACACAGATATTGAACAGGCTTTACCCAAGCGTCGGTGATGTTTCCCATACCAAAACAACGATGAGATGGCCGTCCTGGGCTTCTCTCGGCACCGTGCTTCCTTAAGATTTTAAGTTCTGATGAAGATCGGTGTTCTGGCGGTGTGCGTTGCCAGCTTTTTTTTGAAATCCGGTGATGACTGCGGATTTTTCTCGTGGGGTGGCTGGGTGGTACAAATGCAGGTAAGATACATACTGGAACGGCTGTCTTCATGGTTAGTGACTTCCAAAGCAATCATTTCCCCTGTCACCTCTGGTTCTCACTGCTGTGTTACCTTGAAGAGCCAGTAATGCTACGGAATAAATTCCTCCCCATCCTTGTCTGCATTGGTCAGAAACGATTCACTTAAACAAGCGCAGTAGCCACGAAGCACTAACGCCGCAGCAAAGCCGCGGCTTCGTTTCACTTGTAGCCCTGAAATCCCAGCAGGCTCAAGGGAACCTGGCTGCGTTCCAATGGTTTTTCCCAGCATCTTTCGGTCCCAGTTCAGGAGGCCAAGTGAAATAAAAAGGATTCAAGTATTGAACACCAGAGGGGGGCCAAAATGGCTCCAGTAAAATGGTGTACATAGACAGAGGACTGGAGACCGTGCTTGAAAACGCTCTCTCTTTCCCCCGTGGTCCATGCATTCGCTTCTCTTTCCATCTCAGACCAAGGAATTACATCTCATATTCCAATATTTTCAACTACTCAAGCATTTACTAGACGGAATATGTGACAGAAACAGCCTGTTCTGCATACAAAAACTTAAATACTTATTTCTGCCTAAATGAGGAACAGGCGCAGCAGCGCAGGCAGAGGTCTCTGCAGCCCTCCTGTTCTCTGCTTCGCACAGGCTAGCCGATCTCTCTGCTCATGAATTGCAACTATTGAATATCGCTTTGCAAATGGGCTCTGGTTTGTTCCTTTAAGTAATTTAAGCACAGCAAAGCCCAGAATGCAGCCAGGGAAGGTCTGTTCCTGTTCCGACGCCAGCACCATCTCCGTAGCGCTTCCACAGAGCCAGCTGGTGCTCCAAACATACCTGGCTCGAGGAACCAACACCACCAGCCGGGACAGGGCTGGAACTGCCAGCTTCTGACGGGTTCCGCTAAGAACTTGACGGTGGTCTACTTCAGGCTTCACCAAAACCTCACTTGACCTCGCACGTACACCCGAGATGTTTTAGGGCGAGTTTCCTACCTCCTGCGACGTAGCTAACACGTCCTTGAACGGGCCCTGGGGAACTTCAGCGACGCTTGTGCGCGTCCTCCTCTCGCTTCGAGGCGCTCACATTCACACCTCTAAGGCAACTGTTACTTCATACCACGCATCTTGACCGCTGCAGTATTTTTATTTCTCCCCTCTGTGCTTCCTTGCCCATAATCCTTTTCCTGGGCAGGATTATAATAGATTGTACATTAAAATAAACCCCTCGCCCCAAACACAATAGCTTCAGTTCACACACTGACTGCTCATTTTTCAGTTACCATCTAAGTAACATCAGCTCAGGCCCCGCAAAGTTTTTCACATTTGATTTATTCCACATGATTTCTTGGCAACATTTTCTGCAGACCAACTCCCTCCCTCTCACAGTCTCCACCTTGTTATCTGCCTAAGCCAAAGGCAGCTGAGGCAAAACACAGACACCCTGTAACAAACACAAACTAATACAGGAGAGCAATTAATTGTGCACAAACAGGATTTTATTTAGGTCTCTACAATTTGAGCTCCAATATTCAGCGTGACTCAACCAGAGAGGACCCGATAGCTGGCCACTGTGCGCTGCGCTGGGGCCAGACCGTCCAAAAACCATACCCGTGGGAGGAGGCCAACCCGACCCCATCGTGGCTGTGATTCCAGCTCTCACTGACCACTTCTCATTTCCAGCTTCAAGTACAAACCACTGGAAGTAACGCAGAACCATTTGTGGCAACAACGGCCAACACCGAGGTGCCTACCGGGACCAGCCAAGCAGATGCAACAACATTTGGTGGGAGCTCTTACTCTGCAGTGCAAGAGAGACTCCAGAGTAGCTCCTCTGACGTTTCAGAGCTGAGCAGCTGTTCGGTGCGAGGGTTTCCATGTGTATTTTTCTAACTGTAGCTCAAAGCTTAACCCAGTTAGGCATCTACCAATCTGAAGGCAGGGGGATTTCAGGTCTCTCTCGCAGTTGTTTTTTTTTTTATTTAAGCGAAAAGCCTAACTGCTATCTTCGACACATAAATACCTTTTGCCACTTATCTCGATTAAAAAGCTTCCTCCTCATGTAATACAACATTTCTCTAGTAGAAGGAAAACCATATACTTCATATTCTCTGCACAATTAGCACATTGGTTATCGCAATATTTTTCTTACACGCTAGACTTTTGGTAACAGTTCCTAAGTTAGTAGTTTTTAAAGCCTTGCGCTTCTCACAGGATTTTTTTCCCCAATCTTAGGTTTCAAGCTAGACTCAGCATTTGTCTTTTGGGGGTCAAGTGCATCTTCTCAGGGGGTTCCCCCGCTTGTATTCCAGAGCAGTAGAGGAACGGGTTCAGTTTCGGTTGCAAAATGATCAGGAGAAACCCCAGCACTTGGAGCAGCCCCGTGCTTTAAGCGCTCTTCAGCCACGGCACAGCCAAGCGGACACCGACCGCCTTCGGCCAAGGCGGCGCGTGGGCGTTCGCAATAGGCCCTTCACATCAGACAGTAGTCTCTGTTTTTTTAGCAGTTCGACTACGAAGGTGCTGGCGTATCATACTCTTCTCTTTTAGGTACCTGAGATGAAGAGAGAGACAAAGCGTTTAAGTAACAGAATCCTGCGAAAATGGAACCCAAATTGTAACGTGCTCGTTGAACGGCTGAAAAATGTGGTAATGAAAGCTTTTTTGATGGAAAATGGCAATTGGTGTTTATTTTTTTCTGTCCATTTCCTGGCCACTGCGATTCAAAGCGATTATCAGATGGCCATTTGCTACCAGAGATCCACAGCTGGTACAGACTCTCATTGCTTTAGACCTCAGGACTCGCATACGTGTTCAGAAATAGCGTGTTTCTAACTCGTACCTGTTGTGCATTTTGAGTTACTGTCAGAAGAACTCGTGCCATTTACCAGAAGTGACGTTTTGAAGGGACGTGAGGAATTTGGCACTAATCTAGCATCAACGCTATGCTACCTCAATAGTCCCGCGCTATGTACCGCATTTATACTTCCCATGGAAACCCACAGCAGCAAGTAGAGACTGAGGAACCAGTCTAACACACAGCGGACAAAGTAAACAGGAGTGACCCTGAGGGTACGCGTTTCCCAGAAAGATCCCCCCACGTGTACGTAGTCAGTATTTATTCTGGAATCTTCACCAGGAACAGCTCACCTGGGTGCGGAGGCTATCGGAAGGATTACAGATCCCACCAAGTTTCACTTAGGCAGTCACGGCACAGCGTTCTCTGCTACATCAACACATTCACCTCTTGAGCCAATCCATAACCGTACATATTCTCCCGGACTCAAAGTGACCCCACTCATTTTACTTCTATTTACCTTGCAACGGTCTGTTGAATCTCCTGTTCTTCCTCTTCATTTATTCTGTGCAGAATTGACTCCAAAAAGGGAAGATGAAATTGTATATACTGAGCAACCTATCAAACGGACGACAACAAGAAATGCCCATTAGCGAGGATGCTAACTGGGAAAAACACTGTGAACGATTAGAACTGACGATACACGTACATCACTGCTGATCTCTTCCACATCTCTGTCCATGAGAAAGAACTTGGCAACCTTCTCCGAGGGCCCCTGCAAGAGCCTGTGCAGTAAGGGAACGTCCCCGCTCCTCAGCTGCTTCTTTTCTGGGATTTACAAGAAATGTCGTGATACACAGAACACAAAACAGTGCCTCTAGATACCTCGTGCCATCAGTAGCCTTTTTTCTTGACAAAGATCCTATATTGGACTGATGGGCAATTATTAGATACCTAATTTGCAGGAGGATGTGGCAGCTAACTCACACGACACATTTTGAAACGAATTGGTAGATGCAACACAAAGGAGCTGCAGTTCAAGTAGCCAAGGAAGCCTCCAAGAGACTGATCCCAGGCCCATCAGCTTGACCATGACTCTCTAAAACAAAACCTTCATCCTTTTCAAACATCATTTCAACTTCGTATTTTGACATTTAATATATACACCCATCAATTCTCTCCCCCGTTCTTTCAGGTATTCCTTTTAATAAAGATAAATTTTCCTTTTTCCTGAAGGAGCAGAGCAGGCCGTGTTGCAGAAGCAAACCTTTTATATGCAAAAATGAGTACTTAAACTAGGCACCTGCGATCCAGGACTACCATCCAAAACCGTCAATTGAAATATCCCGTAACACCACCAGCGGGAGCCTGGCATCCCACAACTGCAGCGTGGCTGCGCAGAACACGACTCAGAGCAGAAGAGCATCGTAAACGCGGCCTTTAAATACAGGGCAAAACAAAGGCCTGCTCAGCTGAGCCAGCCATCCTGGCAGCACACAAAGCACCCGCAACACCATTACTCAGGGGCTCCTCTCCATCAGAGGACCACGTGTCTCTACGGGGTCTCCAGAAAAGCCAAAACGCCACACCGAGCGCATGCTGTCGGAGCAAGGACAGATGCCTGTGACGGATCCTGTCGCTCCACGTTAAGCGGGCCACACTTACCTCCGGACGCATGGATAATGTAAAGTGCAAACTCATGTGGGCTGTTTTCTATCTGTTAAACACAAACAAAAAAGTCTATTCAGACTGACTGATACACTTGCTAGCATTTCACTGCCAGCAGGTGTTCTCTGTGCTTCTCAACTCAGGTATTTAAATCGAAGTCTGAGACTGGGATCCTGCCTGTGGAAAAGTTAAGCGATACTGGATTTGGCTAAGACAGAAAGCTATGCGGCCAGGTTCCGTGTCCCTGTGCCCTGCTGCCTCATGACGTTACCGTACTGCCCACATCAGTGACGTACCCTCTTAGACAACACCAGACTTGAGTCTTGTTTCCTTGGAGCATCCTCAACTATTTCACACAACTGCCCTTTCAGGCGACTCATGTATTTGCCAGGAGCATTACCATTAGGGTAAAACGCTGTTATCTCTTCCTATCCGCTGCCCTGCACCAGCACACTCAGCAAACAGCAGTCCTTTTGAACAGCCATTTTTCAGCTTAGTCTCTCTAACTTCATCTGCTCTGTAATCCCATTCCTTATATTATTCATCAACACCAACCTCTCCTTTTAGTATTACAGTACCAAGTCTTACCAACTGTATGAACTCATTCTGCAATAGCAAAGTCTCTGGACAAGTTAAATGAAGAGTTATCAATAATTGTACAGTAAGAAGCTACGGAGAATAAAGATATCGGAGAAATATACAGCACCAATGGTAAATGTATTTCTGACTGGGTACAATCATGGTAATGGAAGATGGTACCAAGGACACTCCAAGGAAAAAAGAAAAGGTAATTTCAGACAGTATGGCACTGATCTTGAGCACTAGTTTTAACTTTGACTTTCTGGAGCTTCCTACGGGCCTGGATCAACGGAACGCGTACCCCAGGCGCTCGGGCTAGAAAAGAACTCCCTTTCGTTTTAAGCAAGACACAGTTACCGGTGCCCGTCACCAGAGGGGAGCAGGGCCACGCGCGTTAACCAACACCCTTTCTCCGTGCTGGGAAACGCTGCAAGCGCAGCAGTTCACCCCTTCTGCGCCTCAGTTTAGAGGGCAGCGGTTCTGCAGCTCTTCCTTCACTGCACACTATCCCCCCCATATACCTTTTCTAGCCTCAAATAGCCGTGGAATATTTGTAAAATAAAACCAACCCATTCCTTAGAAGTGGCCCGTGTGGTTTTTAACTGTGCTCTGGTCTACGCACTATCGCCTCCCAGTTAATTCCTGCCTTTCCCGCAGCACCGGCGTGACACACTTGAGTTAACGTTTCCACAACACGGCTGCACTTGCTTCTGCAAGCACGCAGCGTTACCTTAAACTTCCGAAGCAATTGTTCTATTACTTGTCTGGTCCTCATCTGGCTGTTTATTCTGATTTTGGTTTCTGATCCAAAAGCCGGAGTAAAAACTGATGTCTAGGAACAAAAACAGGTGCAAAAGGGCATGCGTGTGAGAAGCGCTGTACTCGGTGGCTGGGACTCACAAGGGTATAAAGCAGCACAGCTCTGGGGGAAAGCAGGCTGTCAGGCACGCTGCCCCTGGGGCCGTAAAGCCAAGGGCAGGCATGTCCTCAGGAGAGCACCCCCGGTACGCAGGGCTGCTGCGGGCTCCCACCGTGCAGCGGCCACGCACACTGGAAACCCACCTTCTGGAGCAGGCCCCGAAAACTGACCCCGGGGGCTGAGCCCAAGGCCCAGTGACACCAGCCTGGCCACGCAGGGGGCCACTGGGGAGAGCTCCTCGTGGCTAAGGGGCTGCAGGGGAGGGCCAGAAGCTTGCTGGACATTTTTATCTGTCCCAGTACCAACCTCAGGTCATCAAAGACAAGCATCAACATTCTTACCTCGTAGTTATAGAAGTGGCCATTAATTGAAAACCTGTGAGTTTCTACTTCTGTCCTGGCTATCATGGGGAGCTTGGTCCTCTTCCGCACAGCCGCAGCTTCGCTGACGGCCCTGGGCAGGGTAGCGCAATCATGTTCCTGCTCGCACTTGGACTTCAGAGCGAGGCTTTCGTAACATGAATAACCTGGACAAAATTAAAGCGCATCAGCATGTTGCACAGCTGCTCTGCCCTCCTTGCCAGCACCCCCACGGGAAGAAGGTTCTTGGTGGAGGGATGATTTTATTTTTTTTTTTGGCGGGGGGGGCGGGGGGGGGAGGGGGGGGGGGGGGGGGGGGGGGGGGGGGGAATAACAAAGCCCCTTTCGCAGAATTGCCTGTGTTTTTCAGGAAAAGTTTTGTGGTAAGCTACTTAATTTTTTTAAATGTTCCATAACAGCAGTCTTGATTTTAAAATAAGAGTTATCCTGGATTGAGCCAAAAACATTCCTTTCATTTGCATGTCTAGATTTATTCAACTAACGTACAGTCTCTGAGCCTGTGGTTGGGTTTTTTTATTGCTTACAGGTACCTGATGCAATAAAAAAGTGTCAACGTGCAGGCATAACTGTACGTATGGTCACTGGCGATAACATTAACACTGCTCGTGCTATTGCATTAAAATGTGGTATTCTGAATCCTGGTGAAGACTTCCTGTGTTTAGAGGGCAAAGACTTTAACAGGAGAATACGCAATGAAAAAGGAGAGGTAAGCATACTGATTATGTAAAGCAGATCAGCAGATATTCTAAGTCTCCTAACTGTAAAATATAACCAATGCTCTTTTGCAGATAGAGCAAGAGCGAATAGATAAAATTTGGCCAAAGCTTCGAGTTCTTGCAAGATCTTCTCCCACTGACAAACACACTCTAGTAAAAGGTAAGTAAAAACTATCTGAGCTTCTAAGAGAGCAATAGGCTGTCTGCAGTGGCCACAATTCACTATTTTGTTCACTTCTTGGGAATGATTTCTTTGGTGAAAGCCCAGCCCGTCAGCGCCAGCCGTTTGAGAAGTTACCGCACAGCCATGGTAACCACTCATATGTCAGTATTTCACCAGCATCTAATCAATGTTAAACAGAGATAGAAAGTGATCTTCCTTTACTGGTGGGGAAGGCCTAATGTGTTAAATGACTTTTGCACAGTTACAGAACCAAGCATTTTTAGCAAACGTAAGAGCAGCGACACTAACTTTTCTCAAGGTTTGGCTTTTCTTCAGTAGATTTCAATGTCTCCCCGCTAATATGATGGAGATCATCAAATTCTCCCCAGCGTCTCATTCCCCTGAAATACCAAACAAATTTATAGTTGTTTTTCTCCTCATTAACTCAGCGATTTCCATTTATCCTTAGCCAGGCTTCACATAAGACAGAGCTATCCCTGTTGAAAACTTCATAGAACATAAACTACAGACGTCAGTGTGGTATATGAAGCCGGTAATTTCAGTTTATATCAAAACAGAATCAGTTAGTAAAACGCGGTACAACTAGGGATCCCAAATGTAACACAATCCTACTTAGAGCCTATTGAACATCCATCACGATGGCGCTTAAATAATCACGCTTAAATAATTGGCAGTAATTCTTCATCCATCTTATTGCAATGCCCTGGATGAATCACAGGTAGGACAGCAGGCAGGCATACAGAAAGCACACACGTACTGTGGTTTAAGTAGTCACAGGAGACAACGTCTCTGTTATTCAGACAGGGAGATGACAGATCAAATTAGCCCCTCGTGCTATCCAAACCCGTTCTGTACGACAGCAGGGAACTCAATCCAGCCCGCTTTAAAGCCCAATTTGCTTTATGCCAATATTTCCATAATTTATTGCATAAACTCTCTAGCAGAAAGTCTTGGCCAGTTACCACTCTGACTGAGAATAAACCAATTTGTAGGTAAATACTAAAAATTCATTTCCTCTATGTATATTCAAAACAATATTCAACAAACTCCAACAAACATGCCAAACAACGACCTCGGTTCTGTTCCGTGCATTTAAAAAGTTCATTTAAGATCAAAGAGTCAAGCTGCTCTGCATACCTTAAAGCGTGTCAGGGCAGCTTCACATGGCTGCGATCGTGAATTAATATTCACTTAAAGATTCAGATCTGCACAAGTCATAATTTTTTCAGAAATAAAAGGCAACGCATCACTTGAACTGCCAGACTGGACCCTATCCCACAGCCCACACGCAGCCCGTACCAGTAGATCTGGTCAAGGTCAACACAGAGAACCAGATCTGCCTCAGCCTCAAGCTCTTCGCTGGCTACTCCTGCCAGGTTACACCCCTTCATTGCAACAGCAAGAAATGGAGGAAGACTGTCCCCGACTTCACTGGAACTCCACAGCTGCAACGATGGTACAATTAAACCCAGGATTCAAACCTGTACCACGCGCCATCTGAGACAACGGATAATTACGAAAATAAGCTCTGAAATACAGAATTCATCAGGGACTCATTCAGGGTAAACATTGGCTCAGCCTCCACATTACACATTACTCGCTTCAGCTCGTCAGGTACAAATCAAAATTCACCAGCCAAGGCTTGGGAACTGGTGTTCACAATAGAAAGGAGAAATACTCTAAGACCCTATGTCAGTTTTTAAATACACGGCAAATCTAGCACGAGTCAGATCAGCACAATGCACTCGGAGGTAAGGCCTTTTAACACCGGATTTTGCACGGACAAAGCCAGTATTCATTCCCTGGCTTGAACTTGGCCCTGAGAAGCAATGGTGTCACACCTCAAGTACCCGGGAAGGTAGCCTGCGATGGACAATCACTTGGCACTAACCTACCACATTCTCCCTTCACGCTGTACAATGTGTGCCGACATGAGGTCTTTCAGGGCCCACCAACATTATCAGGTGTACACATACAGATGTGGGGGGGTGTTTTTTGGTAAATTTTTATATACATGGCATTCCTAGTACTTGCAGGGCAATAGCCAGCATAGACCAGAGCAGCCTCCTCCACCTTCTCAACTCTTCTTACACTGAAAGCCAGGCCAAGATGCAATAAAGGTGCTAAAAAGAAGCATCTCTGTGCCCAGCAGAAGCTGTTGAAAGACCACAGCAGTTGCAGAGCACCGCGACCGCCGCAGCCTTTGGGGAATCCGGGATACGCAACCAGCGTTATCCACTGAAGCCACCTACGGGAGCTCTCTTGAAATACCAGCCTGCCTCCTTATTGTGGAAGTCAATACGTTACCTTTTACCAGGGAACAAACCCACGTTCTCTGTTGACTTCAGGGTTACAAAAGAAGGTATCTGCTTCTCATCCTGAATTTTTAATCGGATAGGATGTCGGACTCCCCAAAATATTGACAAGATTCCTTCAATAAATGGTTTGCTTCCTTCCTGCTGGAGAAAAAAAAAGGAATAAGGAGTGCTGCATCATAATCGAGTAATAATAATTGATTTCCCCTCAAAGTAACAGGAAGATGATGAAATCGCCGAGGTCAACACAACCCTAGAACGGGTCACCTAGAGAGGCTGTGTAATCTCCATCCTTATGGCATCTCCCAAAGAGGTAGCTAAAGCTGCAGCTGACCTCATCTCATGCCAGCATTGGTCTGACTTTGACCAGGAGGTTTTCCAGCCAGTATGACCATAATTCCCTACAATTACAAGTCAAATCCTATTTGTTCTGCTTGGATGACTAGCTCCTCTGAAACCAGGGCGCTAGGAAGGAGGCAAAGGGGAAGAGTGACTGCTGGTGAAGGAGGAAGGAGCAGTTAATGAAATTGTCCTTGGTAACGCAGGGCACTGCATCACTCCGGAACACCTTGTCGGGCCCCGGTCTTGCTGACATAGAACCCTGTCACTGCTGAATGAGCTGGGACAGAGAAGTGAGGACTACCCTTTTTCATACCAGTTTTGCCCAGCATCGCTCTAATGTCCTTCTGCATCTTGGTACCAGCAAAACCACAGAAACACAGCTTAGGAAGGAGAAAGCAGTTCAGACCTCTAAACCAGGGACTCTGTGCTACAAAAGACAATTCATGCTTCCATCCGTCCTTCAGCTCCACAGGCCCTCTGGTCTCCGCAGAGGATGCATTCCCGGAGCTACGCTTACCAGCGTTTTCTCTGTACTAAAGGCTGACATCTGAGGAGAGAGGGGTACTCCCTCCCTGACCTGAGCGACAGCGATCCTGCCGTTACACACCGGGGGTTCAAGCAGAAGGGGCGGAGGGTAACTGCACCCCACAAACACTTGCAAGTGCTACTCCCTCCCAGCTACCAATCAAGGACTTGAGAGATCAACACAAACAATTCTTTCCTGTGATATGCCCAGGAACGGGACGGCAAGGAGATCGCGCTGTTAAAAATCCAAAACTCCCACTAGTCTCAAGACAGCCATTCCTGCTCTCCTCTCCTCACAGCATTTGACTCTAGCACTTAGCGTGGCCTTTTTATTTCAGTGATATATTCCCTCTAATATATTCACACAGTACAGGTATCCTACACTGTTCAGTCTAGCCGCGTTCAACTTCAGCGCCTATTAGCACTTTTCCTACTATTACCTTGTGGGTTTTGTACTATTTTTACTTACCTGATTATGGGACAGTTGCAGATTTTCTTGATCAGAATAGTAAGAGTTATAAGTCTTCAGAAGAGAACTGAGCTGCTCTCTAAAATAGAAGATCACAATGAAAAGAATAGTTTTTAAACATCTCTATCACCGTAAAATCCAGGTGCTAAGCGGCAGGGTAACACCCTCTATCTGTGTTGCCCACTGCATCCTTGTACAGGTTTGTTAATCATTAATACACCAATTGCCGAGAGTAAAATTGTGTCAGGGTACTGGGTTGCTTACAAGTTGCTTCTTTAAAGACCTGATTCACAGAGGAAATTACTTAGTCACAGGCTGCTGTGACGTTAACAACACTGCCCCGGAATAACTTGTACTTCGGACTTCTGTTACAGTCATGAGGGGAAGCAAGCGGGAACAACGCTCCCATGCACCAACGCTGCAGATGGTTTTAGCTAGGTGACAATTTCTTCTCCCTGCACGATGGTTTCCATTGGGTTATTTTATTTTTTCAGATTCTCTCCCTATTCCAAATTATATATAGTATGCCTGGACAAAACATTTAACTTCCCTTCTGCTTGAAACATAACAGCTTTGTACTAAGTCTCTGCTCAGAGGAGAAAGGATGGAGATGAAGAGAACCTCTCCCAACCAGCAAGGATTATAAACCTCAGATTTCAAACGAATTCATGACATCATAAAAAAGCAGCATAGCATTCTGCTTTGAAAACACTCTGTTGAGGCAGGAAGGCAACGTGAGGCACACTGGTGCTAATGATTTTTAACACTTAATTTTTTAAGAACCCCCACTGGAGACAACTATGCCTTTCTCCATCCTTGATAAACTCGCAATGCTGCAAGAGAAGAGGTTTCAGAAAACGTTTCAAATTTGATGGCATTTCAAAATAAGGCAATTAAAGCTGACTCCCATCCCAGCTTCTAAGCCACAGCCACCACCTCCTCCCTTCGGCAACTTAGCCTGGAAGAAACCAACTTTTGCTACTGCACTTTAACTACGGGACTGCCAAACTTCCTGGGACATTTCAGCAGAGACCGCGCTACTCAACATCCCGAAATCCTGAGCAGCCCGTGGGTGCGCAGACAGCACTCCTGCAGCATCCCGCGTGGGTTAAGGTCACAGCGCAGGGCAACGCCAGCTCCCCCGACAGCCGGTGCAAACGCCGCTCCCTCCTCAGCCAACAGCAGCCGCGCTGCCGACAGCCCGCATCACTGACGTGCCCGTACGGTCCTCGTAAACGGGTAAGAAGCAATAAATGCCACGTTGCACAAACACAGGCTGGGGGATGATTGCTTTGGCACCGGCGCTGTAGAAAAGCACCTTCTGGTTACTGCTAAGCAGCGGCTGATCCCCAGTCCGCAGGGCCATGCTGTTGTGTAAGAAGTAACCACCGCACACGGAGAAACACACGGGAGTATCCTCTTCAGAGCACGGCTGCTTGAATTACAGCTCAATGCCAAGTTTGGTCAGAGTACTCTGCCCTCTTAGCACTACTTGTGAAGAGGGATACGCATCAAGTTGAGTCCAAAGAAGAGCAGGGGGACTGATAAGTGCCATGAGCCGTGAAGACAAAAAGCAAGTTGCATCTCAGGCTAAGGAGGACCAAAAAAAGACAGAGTTAAGTGATACGTATTTCAGGGCCATCAAGACTGAAACACTCTTCCCCACACAAATTAAACAAGAAATATTATTTAGATTGTAATGTAAGAAAACAATTGCCACCAGCAGAGATAATTCTGCATGGGAAACAACTGCATGGAAGCATATGTATTCTTCCTCACGGACGATCTTTAAGCACCAACAGCGATGACTAATGATCAAGACGGTTTAACTTACTGCCTTCCAGTGGGGAGTGAAAACACCAAGTTTGTTTCCAAATAGAGTCTATTATTTCCATGTTTTTGTCTAGTATGAGATTTTATAACAGCTGAACCACAGGCAAAGCAGACAGCATTTGCAAACTCTTCTCAAGTAAGTTCCACAGAGACCTTCTGAAACGATTGAAGACCCATATACAATCAGAAGTACTACTGTAACTCCTATATCAATTTCAAGTAAAAAAAAACACCAACACACAAACCAAAAACCCCACCCCAAATCCAAACCCAAGAATTGACTTCTAGCACTGTTACTGAAAGAATACATCACACTTGGGAATGATGCTCAGTAGAAATTGCATTCTCATATTTCAACAGTCAGAATCCACCAAGAACATCAAAGAAAAACCATCAGAGGTGCAGGACTATACGGACCAAGACCCTACGCAAAGTACTACACACCACCTCCTGTGGGAGATACATTTAGAGAAATATGTTGCAGTACAGCCTGGTGCCATCGGGAACGCTGGCATGAATAGTTTCAGCCAAGTTTTTAACAGTTGTTTTCCTGTAACAGTCGCAACACACCCACGTCCCAGAACACGAGAACATTATCACGGTGACAGCAGCACCCTTATCAGAGATGACAAACCTCAGAGCCATCTCTCCCCTAGGAACGGGATCAGCTTGTCCATCATTGCAAAGCAGCTCAGAAGGAAATTTTCAGGGGTGAAATGAATATTATCTCATAGCATCCCTGTGATTAGATTGTGACTCAATTTACTCCAACTGACTGTTTAAATGGCTGCACAGTTGACTCTGTAAACTTAAGGAGTAAAAAAAGTCAGTGTTGCTCAGGGGATGTCACTTAAGATATTAAGAAATTCCAAGAAATCAGTCCAAGAGAATAGGGGGAAGACGGATTACTCAAAGAAATACAAAACATTCTGGCTGGGAGCTGCTATGTATGATTTTAAGTGTACCAACGAGACAACAGAAGTATCCCCTCACGGGACTGCGATAGTCCTACTCCAGCATCATACACCCTCTTCTACGGCTTACGAAACGCACGCTCTTCTTCCACCTTCAGCCTCCCCTCTTTACAGTCTGAGAGCTCAAAGCAGGTGCCTTCCGCAGGACTGTATTTCTCAGTCACCTCTTACATTTATACATATCCAAAGCACCCGGACAACACCGTCTCTCTCAATAACACTAGGCAGAACTATATCGTGATATGAGTCTCTACGTGGGACAGTCACCTGCGGCACCCTGTTCTTCCTTCGGGGTGAGGCGGGCAGACACCTGACACTGCATCGAAGTGGAGTGCCCACGTGGGACCGAGGGACACTGCTGCCCGAGAGCCTGACATGGAGGCCGGTCAGCAGGACCGCGCCCTCCCCCCAGGCTTGGCTGCCGACACACTGGAAAGAGGAGCTGGGCAAGCAGGGAGGCCAGGTAAGGTGTGCGCACTGTGTTTGGGGCACAGGGGCACACAGCATGCAAAAGCTTAAAGTTTCCCCCTGGCATAGCCTATCCCTCCCTCGCTCCGCTTCATAAACTGAACTTGGCAGCGTCCTGTTGCTTGGCAAGCCTTTTCCTGTGCTAAGAAGGGAAAAGATAAACAGGGTTTTGACTCAGCAGGTAACATTAGGGCAAAGGCTGCACCACTAAATTCAACAAGATTAACTGCCCTCCCTTCTAACACTCGAGATGTAAATGATTTACTACTTAACTTACTGCAACTCCCCCCAAAATATTTTTAAGTGGCTTTGTCAGCAAAGCGGTGGGCTCCAAAACAGCATTTTCAACATTTACTTCAACTCACGTGGATCTTAAATCCCAGTAATACTGGTGCCTAAAGCCTTTCTTTCATTGTGCTGGAATAGCACATTACAGGTTCTTTGTGTCTCATGAGCTACACGGGATTCTATTCAGGTCATTCCACTAAAAGGGAAACCTTTAATAAATATCTATCAGATACAAGTGAAATTTTGATCATGCTGGCTAAAGGTAAGCAAGATGAAGCACGTCTCGGCCTCATACACAGGCAAAATCCAGATGCAATGCGAGATGAAGACGCAAGCCCGAGATAGGTAGTTTTGTTTGTCGGATGTTGCGATAGACCTGCTGATCCTGCTTGCGAGGTGCTTAAAACCGAAGTCTCTTTATACTTGGCAGTCTAATACCTTTGGCAGTCATTTTATTGACAGCTGTTATTTTGCAAGCTTTTTCCAGGTAGGAAGTTGGGAAGATCAGTTCCCTGAAGACAGATTAGGAATACATAAGGACTTGGTTCACACCGAGGCCCATCTATTGTTCCATGTCAGCTGCAACAGCAAATACATCATAGGCTAAAAGCACTAAGTGATGCGATAAGGGTCATCTGAGGCAGATGCCGTTTCGCAGAGCAAGTTCTGCAGATTGTCACTTCGTTTCTTGCCTTGTCTAGAAAAAAAACTTCCCATTAACTTCCACAGGAGTTTGCACAAATACATCTTTCAGGTTTCAGTTTGGCATTAGTGCAACCAACGGTGGCGAACCACACAAGCCATTAGAAAAGCCTCGAGGGAGAGATTTAACAGCAGCTCTCACCGAGTTGTTTGTCCTTGTGTAGCGGAGAGACATCAGTAAAGAGAATCTTGCTTCTTTTCGCCCCAGAAAGGACCAACACACCAGCCTACCAGTTCCAGAACAAGTCTGATTTTAACAAATCTTGGCTATGAAGGCCCAAAGACCGCCCTAACCAAGAGGCAGGTGGTCACCTCTCCAAAGTTAGGCTGCCAGATAGTCAGCGGCTCTGTTATGTTTCAAGACTGTTCCTCACAGCACGGCTTTGCGACAACAGCCAAAGGCAGCCATTGGTGGAAGCCAAAGCTAAGTAACTGGTAGAACAACTTAAAGAGGCAAACCCAAACCCCATCACCTTTACTGCCGATTCACTACTTGCTTCAGTAATGAAGGCAGAATACAAGGGAGCTGTAAGGTCAAGCGGCCTGGTGGTAAGCCACAACAGAGGCCAGGTTGTGTTCACTCCTAACTAACCCAGGACAGCTCACCTGTGTCTTCTTCTCCTCCAAGCCCTACACAGTTATCCACAGGTATTTATGGCAGTTATGCTTAAAGACACAATAGCTCAGCCAGCCAGGTAATCCCACATGCTGTGGTCAGCCTTTTGATCCAGCCGTTGTGCAGTTCCCCAGCTGCAGGCTTGCCACGTCAGCAAGATCTGCACGATGCAACTCAAAGAGGAGCAATGCAACAGCAGATTCAAGGCATAGATGGAGGACGGCAGTTTGGAAATTGCACTGGAAGCAAGCTTGAGCGCATACGGAATACGTTAGTGACGCTTGAAATGTTTGCTTTTTAACAAGGCAAAGGAACTTGAACAGTACTTTATATCACGACTGTAATGCAGAAAGGTCTTGGGCATGATCCACATTCCACCACTTGAACAGCCACATATATAGGGGAATAAAAACCCGGAGACATTGGTTCATCTAGTTTATCTAGTACATTTCCAAATGCTTTTTTATGCCAACTATATGGAAGTTCACGCAGATTAATTACCTCAAACACAAAAGCACTATGTACCAAATTAGGAGCAGTATAAAAGGAACAACCCTGAAAGAGAGGGATGTATTTATTGCTCTTGTGCTTTCAGCAAAGCTCTGACACCCTCCCTTAAAGAGGAAGAAATCAATAGCATTGCTCATGCCACATATAACAGTAACAGGATTCAGATGCAGATACCTATTGCAGCAGGAGGAATTCTATCGCAGGCCCCATCCCTGGGTACGTTTACAGTTAGCTTCTTCCCACAGGAACATCAAGAAGGATGGAAATGAAGTGAGAAAAGAGCCCCCTCTTCCAGCTCCTGTGCTCTGGTCAACAAGGGAAAAATCAATCCCCTAAACAGGGGAGGAGTGATAGACCAGGAGGCTCAGAGTTTACGGCAGCGTTAGGAAAAAACTCCTACCAGCCAGATTTAACTGTGGAAAAGCATCCCACAAAATACAGTTCGAGTGCAATTCCCAGCTTTTTACAAGTAGGTTAAAGAACCACTTTGACTCGCCACAAAATAGAGGTGGCAGCCCAACAGGCAGGGTTTCTTTGCAGAAAGACCATCTGGGACTACAGACCAAACCGCATGCCTCAAACAAGTAGAGCTTGAGTTAAAACACTGGAACTCACGCTCAATTCCAATAGATTTTCAAGGTAAGAAGGTGGTCTTCTCTAATTTCAAGTTTTATTTCAGCCTCCTCCAAAAGCGCTGTTCTACCTCAAGAACCAAATCCACAGACCGGAACTTTAATACTCTGTTCTTTGAAATCCATATGAAGGGCCACTTGGTTCTGTTGACACTTTACAGAACGCAAGTTGAAGGAATTGCTGCTGCTGCAGGCTCAGCTCTCTACAGGATCCCCTGTTAATGAATAAATACAAACTAACTTGAAAGAAAGCAGCCAAGTCATGAATTTTTTTTTTATTATTTACCTGGTTATGAACTTCTCCTCATTGATGGAAACAGAAGGTAGATGCTGTGCTTTCATAGTCACTTTCTTCATTTATTCAGAAGAAATGAATCTAAACAAAAGGTTAAAAAAATCATTATATCCACTAACACCACAAAGACAGACTAAATGGTAAACCCCGCAACAAAGCCTTAGTTTGCCCAGTGAAACAGGCTAGGACACTCAAGCTAAGGACTAACTATACCCTATTTTGACTAGTTTGTCCTTAGCCCTAACACCCAAATATTTCCCCCTCCTAGTAAAAAAAACCATAAGCCATTCCCACCAAGTATATCAGAGCGCCTTAAATCCCCGAGTACTGCATGTACCGGGACTTTCTCAAGTAGTTTTAGGACTACTCTACAACTCCATGAGTATGCTTCGCTTGTTAGTAGACTGAGACTGCAAGCCATTCACTGGTTAGGATTCATTTGTTATTCATGGATAGAGCATTGCCCAGGGTCACCAAAAATCAAGTGACTCAGCAAGCCACCCTTAACCAGTTCATAAAACTAGACAAGAACAGGAGAAGTGTTGATCATTGGCAGAGTCCTGCAGCACACAAAGCAAGCAAGCTGAGATATTAAAGAGAGAACAAGGCCATAATTAAAGCGATGTAGCAATATAATTTACAGATCACTGTGTAGTGATTCCAGCACGTGGTGTAGGCAACAAGCCAGACCCATGAGACTCCAACAATGCATTCTTCAAGAAGCTTAATTATGGAGTCTTGGCTGCTTCTATTCCCCCTCAGGTACTAGAAGAAAAGGCAGACTGAGGAAAGTAACTGAAGAGACTCAGACTCAAGATTAGCAACCGATACCGTGCTGCAAAAAACCTTAGTCTCAGCCCAAGAAATGGCATCACACAGATGGGTGGAAAAAAATGAATCCCACAGAAAGCAGTGAAGTCTCCAAGGACTGCACTGGAAGTGGGTTATTCCCCTTTTCTTACTCTTACTTGGGCATGCTGACAGCGCAGTTCGCCTAACAGCACTTGGTGCCTCCCTTAGGCCAGGAGATCTACTCGAGTCTGATTTCAGACTGCGTGGGACAGAGCCTGGTCAGAGACATCTGAAAAGTAGTTTATTGTCTATAGTACTAATGACAAGTAGCCCTCAGAAAAATCAATTTAGAAAATAAATTCAAGCTTGAAAAGATCATGGCTAGCTAAAGAGTAAGTGCCTAGCTTCTGGCAAATGATCCTACACGATAAATTCAAGCTTGAAAAGATCATGGCTAGCTAAAGAGTAAGGGCCTAGCTCTTCTGGCAAGATCCTTCACGACTGAGCTTTTTTTAGACAAATTTACATAAAGTTTCCATAGTCAGAGATGAATGACTTCTAAAAAAAAAAAATATCTATCTGGACAAACAAGAAGTTTAGTATAAAAACACATGATCTTCAACCTACAGGTTCTTTCACAACCTGTAAAGCCAAACTGCACAACCAAAATGAGCTTTACGCGGGCACGGGGATATCTAACAGCGCTTAATCAGCAGCTCCGCGAGAAGAGCGGGAAGGATCCCACACAGCCACTGTCCTTCGGGTGACATCCATCCAGGCAAAAACACACCAGAAAGCCAAATAAGCCCAGGGACTTCTGTACAGACTTGAGTTTGTCCGTAAGGAAGAGACTGCTGTATGCCAGCATAATAGCGTTGTTTGCCTCTGAAATGAGTTCAGCAACCATCGGCCACACCTTGAAATCTGCTTTTACGTGATTTACTAACACCTCTCACCGAATCAACTGCCTCTGCCAATGTAATTTCAAAACAATTTTAAAACATGCAGGCAAGTTTAAGTACATTGGCACCTGAATAACTGGATATACGCTTCAGCTTCCTCCCATCTGCCGGGAAACAACATGTTCAGAAGAGCAGATAGCCAAGTCACCGCTACTAAATGCGAGCAGCAACTCTAGCAAGCGCTAGCACCGCTTCATTGCTCATGGCTGCCTTCTTTTCAATAGCATTTGACCTTACAATTATTCGTATGAAAAAAAAGCTGATATCTACAGACGGAGAGACATGATCTTTACACACAAAGAAAGATCATCACTGAACGACCTATTTTGTTACACAGTGAATGGCTCTTACTAATTTATTTGCCTTAAAAACCCTGGGCGTATCTCAGATCAGCTGGATGCCATGAAAATGCTGACAATGAAACAAAGCAGAGGAGCGGCTGGCGATGGGAGCAGTCCTTGACCAGTGCCTCCCGCTTTGCTCCCCCTCGCTGCCCGATGAGCCTGGACAAAGACGGGCCTTTTCTCCTACAGCTGCCACAGAGGCACCAAACACGCTCGTTAACGTTTTCCTCAGTTACGTGCCCAGTTCTGCTTATCAGCCTTGTACAAAAGATTTCCACGCTGCCAGCTCACCCTAGAGATACAGCACTTGACGTACCCCTCCCCTAGGCGCATTTTGGCTACACACGCCTGCCGCCCTTATTTTCAGTTAACCTCGAGACCTGTGGACCGAGAGCACGCAGCGACTTCCCCAGCAGAACTGTCTGGCACCACCAATGACAGTATATTTACACTGGCAATCCATAAATCCACAAAGCTGTCACATTTTCTATCACCTGCAGGTATTTTATTGTTTTCCACGTCACTTCCCTGTACCTCTTACGGAGAAGCAAACAGGACAAGTGAAGTGCCTTCTTTCTTGCTCCTGGAAGCAAAGAAAAGAAACAGAAGGGAAAGACGGGAATAAATCAGAAGCGGGGCAGATATAAAACGAGCAACTCTAGAGGAAGACTGCAACTATTGGAGAAGCCTAGGAAAAGGAAAAGAGCGCGGCGCAATCCCAAAGCCGCCAGAGGATCGACAGCCACATCAGGGCACAAGACAAATCTCACAGAGGCAGCAAACTTCTCTTCTCTCTAAGATGTATATCTTACCTGCAAGACTTTTTCCAAGAAAAAGTCAAATTGTTAGTGGAGAGGCAGATGAGAGGACTCATTTAATTTTATTAAGTAGAAAGATTTTTAAGTTATTTGCTTAAGGGGAGAGCACAGGGACAGGGCAGGGAGTAATGACTAAGCAAAGGTAAGAGCCAACGGCCACGCAGATTTTGACACAAGGATGAAAGGAGGCAACTGTAGAGGAGGGCTGGAAGGAGAGGGACACTCAACGTCCAGAGCTGAGCCACGCAGGAGCAGCAAAGCAGCCTTTTCATGCGTACGGAACAGCCTGGAGTGCTTTTTGGCACATCCATATATTAAGATAGTGCACCGCTCGCTCTGCAGTCGCCACGTAGAGCTCCTACCAGTGTTGACAAAAAACCAAAAACCCAAACCGCCCCAACGATTTCTAGATGTTTTGACCCAGTGCTTCCCAAAGCTGTTCCAAACCCACAGCAAGTCAGGATGGGGTGAACCTTCTCAGTTTCTCATGTAGAGACCACGAGGCTCAGCTGTCTATTTTAGCCATCGACAACATAGACCCCTAATATTTTGTACAGCACAAAGACCTTCACACTGTCAGCACAATAGCACATATACCTAAGCCATTTTCTAAACTCAGAAGTGTCTGGTACTTAGCAAAATTTTTTACTATTATCTGTTTCTATAAAAACGAATTTAGGATTTATTCACGTACCTAAGAAATTTGGTATCAGCAGAATAATTTTACTAGTCTTCACCTAGTCACACGCTCCAGTTACAGGAGCCTTCAGGTTGGCTTTTCGTTGGTATTATTTGTTTGGTTTGTTTTCTTTTTTTATAAGTTAGATGTCCTTACCACCAAAGCAAATGTCTAATCAAAAGGAAGTACTTACTGCAAACACTTGCATTTTCCCCGCTGAAAACAAGGGGGCTTTCTTCTTTATCTTGCAGACTTCTTTACACTTTATTTCAAAATGAACTGCTACAGTACAGAGCAGTAACAGCACTACTTGAATACAAGACACAGTGGAACCCCTCTGCTTCGGCAGGTTCAGAATGGGCTTTGATTAATGAAACCAAAAGCAAATCAGTACTCATCTGTGAAAATGGCCCCTTAACTTTCTGAGTCACAACGCAAGAGATAGACAAGCTCCCTCCCTTCACCCAAACGATGAGAGAGCAGGGCTTACACCGAATCTCTTTCCAACACTAAGCAATCCATTATTACAAAGAGAAATTACTTGCTACTCAGGTCACTTAGGAAAAATAGCTTTCACCCACCAAAACGAACAGCCAAGGTCACCCATCCAACCTTTCAAATGACCCTGGCAATTGAACCAAGGGCAGCGACGGCTTATGCCCGCGTCCACGCTAAGCAGCAGCACTACCTATTATCTGCCCATTTTAATCACAACTCCGACTCCCACAAAGCCACCTCGAGATTTAGTAACTTCGATGAGCATTTCTGACCGAATATTTCTCCTTCCCTCCGGCACCCTAATTACCCGAAAGGAATTTGACTCGAGTTCTGGGTGACTGCGAAGGACCTTGCTTTCTACTGACGCTGCAGGTTACAGAGCAAGCAGAACAGCTCCGGCTTTACATTTCACTTACCTGTACGTACGATCAGGGAAGGAGAAGCAGAGGAGGAGTTTCACATACCTTTCTCTGAGCCCTGGACAAGGCATGACAGCATTGCACTGGCTGACGGCTAGCTCTGTGACTTCACGGAACCCACAGAGCTGTTAATTACTATTTTGCTTAACAAACCGGGAGTGCTGGAAACCCAGGACACTCCCCGCAGCTTGGTGCATGTCGGGAATATTTACCTACCCGCTTTCCTTCCTCCAAGTGGCTGAGAGGAGCGCTCCCTTAGTCACGGTTACACCTATGGGGAGGCTCCAGTTAACACTTTAATCACTAACTTCATAATGAGAGGCAACCTGCTGACTCTTGGCAATTATTTGCTGACAGGGAGCACACCGAAACATCCTGTGCTGAAAGCACTGCTATGCTTTAACCTCTTCTCTCATGTGTTCTCTAATCCATAGGATAAGCACATTTTTCCTTCTCCGGATACATGCCAGTCTTTACTGGTTAGTGGAATAACCAATACATCCAATCAGATCACACCTAAGTATAAATATATGAATTTATACCATTACGACAAGAACTCTGACAACACAACTCTATCACTTCATCACATACGGCTGTATATTCAATTGCTTGCTTCACTGTACAATAGCCTTACGTGAATATTATTCATTGGGCAAGAGTTGTGTCGGTAAGCGAGAATGCATTAGCTTAATTGCTCAGCAGCCAATCGTCTAAACAGACATTTAAGCTGTAAAAAAAAAATATTTGAACCAACACATAGCTTCCAAGTTCCTACTATTTTCCCGTCCATTTATAGCAAACAATTTATTCACAGGATCCAGCCTAAAACTGGAAATTATTGGGCCACAGACCCTCAGAAGTAGTGTGTCTGAATTTGCCTTCGCACCCGTTTTACCGCACCGCGATTTTTATCAAGCTACTTCTGCTTTAGATAATTTTACGTTAAGGAGAGGCAGAACAGACCCGTACTTATTTGATTCCTGATCACATCATTATCCTCTGGTGTACCCCTCTCAAGAGCTAGGCTCATCGCTGGACACACAACACAGCATACTTGTTACTTGAGACTACAGTTCATGCTGCAGTATCTACCTCTGCACCTGAGAAATATTTAGAGTAAAGATTTCATTGGTGTATATATAACATTAAGAAGTCTCTCAAAACACAGGCAGGAGTCAACATACAAGGTTTTTGCTCAGCACAAAAGCTCCGTGCTCTGGTGGGCTTGGAGCTTCACGCCAAGCTCAGCTGCTGAAGCTTCTCCATCTCTTCTGCAATCATTTAACAAATGTGGATCTTTCAAATCCACATAGATTCCGAACTTGTTTAAAACCAGAGGTTTTATTTTTGCTGTCACAGCTTCGGACACTTGAGCACTCTGCCTGACACTCTTGGATGAGAGGGCTAAAATGGAGAGTAAGCACAGCCTGGCACCTTCAAGTCTCCAAACCAAGATAATGTCAAATCTATCTGTTTCTGACAAGCATGCCACCCTGGCGGACACTTGGGCTGTAAAGCTGTCCGGTACCAGGAGGTAGCCGAGTATTTTTAGAACTGAAGGCCACATTATGAGCTTACAACAGGGCAATGTGATGTTAACCCTTCAGTGTAACTCAAGCTTCACTCGCTCACAACTTCTAGGGTTCTGGTTTGTTTTTTTTTTTAATATTAATTTCAGTTAAATTATTTAACATAATCAAGCCAGAAAACCCCAATTTAATTCAGGACTATAGTTTTCATTTCCAGTTAAGCCACGTCTGTTGATTTTCACACTGGCTTGGTGAACATGGCTCAGCTTTTTTTCCAATTTTCCCTCTCCCACTGGAACTACGACCAACACCCTCGTTCTGGTGTCATTTCAGTCACAGACAATTCCCTGAGTAGTACCTCGTGGAGACTGGTCAGCGCAGAGTAGGAACAGGTATCACATCAGGGAAAAGGAAAAAAAAAAGAAGGTCTTCAGGGCCACACAGCAGAAATTAGTTTACTGCAAATTCCAAGAGAGAGAATGCTTCTATTCCTTCCATAGTAAATAATCAATGCACAGGGAGTTTTATTTTTTCATTTTACATAATAAACAGCATATATGCCCTGGAAATCTAAGAGCAAGTCACGATTTGGTTATACTGTTTCACCCCTTAAATGAAAGGATAACGATGATTTGGTTAGAACATGCAGGGAAGGTGACGATCCTGGAGTCTTTAAAGGCTGTGTTACATTTCTGACTCCTTGCATAATTAATGTTCAAATAATTTTAAGTTAATAAATAATTGGAAGTTGGAGTTCAGCTGTTTAACAACTTGGCCTCAAATAATTAACAAACAGACTTCTAAAGCTGGAAGAACATCTCAAACAGAAAAAACTGAGAGATCCCTGTTCTATTTTTGTAGCACTCAATCACAAGCAGGCTAGCCATGGCAAGATCATACACACATCCTGGACTTCAGTGGAAGTGTTTTGATTAACCCAACAGGATATACATGAGCTCACAACAGACTTCTCTGCTTCATAGTGAGAAGAAAAATCCCTCATATTATTTGCAAACAGCTGTTTCTGGACACCTTCAGATGATTAACTCCAAGCATGGGAAATTCCTCTTGGACTTCCTGAGCCAGCTACAGCAATGCAAAGGCAGAGCCTCGCCTGACAAGATCCGAAACGGACGTAAAACAAGCGATCAATTTTTTCCTTTATGTTACAAACACTACCACGAGGACTGCATTGGTAATAGCAACAAATCCAGGTATTTAAAACAACTGGATTTACCCTACAAAGGGCCTCCCAATCTTTAGTAAGATTATTTTCTGTCATCGCACAGAAGTGCCAACAGCCGTACTTGTGTGCCAGGACATGTTGTGCAGACAGAACTGTTAAGCACAGAAAACAGAAACTAGGAAACTGATGATTAGCTCAAATCACTAAATATGCAATGCACCCCTCCACTACAATGCCCTGTTCTCTCTCAGGGGCCATAATCCCTCACAGATGCCATTTTGTGAGCTTTGGGGGCCCCAAGTTTTTAAGGAAAACAAAAGAAGCAGAGCTGATGTTTGCTGAAGGCTATGGGTCTTGACATCATTTGAAGAGCTGAAACTTCCCAGGTTCTAACCTCTGCCTGCATGAAAAACGGCTTCCAGGTATTGCTGCCTTTGGCCTGGTGAGCCACTGGTAGAGGGGCAAATCTTACCTAAACATCTGAAACACCATTAGTCATGCTTGGCATTGGTTACACACACCCATTAAGTCACCCATTGGATATTATAGAGCTTTCTAAAGCCATACAAGGATTTGCGTTCCCTGAAGCTACCAAAATGTTACAAAGAGCAGAACCAAAGGGAACTGCCCTGTCCAAAAGAGCTACAATCCTACAGCTTCTCACACCCATTAGAGCTCAACCAGGAGTAAAATCACAACCTCACCACACCCAGCCACCTCACCCAGCACTTAAAAACCCTAACTCCTCCACACTCAAGGTTTCCAGACTCAGACACTCCTCAAACCCAAAGGTTTCCATCAAACCTCACCTCCTGAGATTCCTTTCTGTATGTCACTCTAGATCTAGGTTCTTCTGTCTTTAAGGCACAAGACCCATGGTCTGCTCCTTTTGAAAGGCACCTTCAAGCCCTCTCCTGC